TCGGGTTATGGTCAACCCAAACCCGAAATGGGTTGGATTCGAGTTCAACATTTCGACCCGTTTCAAAAATCGGGTCGGGTTCGGGTTAACCCTTTGACTCTAAAATGACATGTTTTTGACCTCAAAACCCATTTTTGACCCGGCAACTCGAGTCTGACCCGTTTTGACCCAAAAAAGAGGAGATAGACCAGTTTTTTACCCGAAAACTAGCAATTTTTTTTGGAAACGGGTCATTCGGGTCGTGTCGGGTTGACCCGGACCTAAAGCGGATTGAGTTCGGGTCCGAAAAACTGACCCGTTTTTAAAAACGGGTCGGGTTCGGGTTGACCCGAATAGTGTCGGGTCAATTTCGAGTTCGACCTGAACCCGACTCGTAATCCGAAATTGACACCCATAATTTGAGGTATGACGAACCCATTATTTGTCCAATTGTTCACTTAGGCTACGTTTGAGATATATTTCGTATTGCTTTTTAAAATAATTGCACTGTAAAAAAAAAATTTAATTCTGAAATTTTTTTGTTAAAATGGAGTAAGAAAGCTATCCTAAATAAAGCCCTAATTTGAACAAAAATTGATTAAATCAAAATAATAAAATAATGTTGACTTTTCTTTTAAATAGTGATAGTCTAAATTCGAGAATTTCCAGTTCTATTCATATGAGCCGTGCGGTTTGACTGTCTAAGGAGAAGATCAAAGACCAGTCTCTTTGACCGCTGACCAATTCTACCCTTCACACACAGACCAGTTACACCAACCCAGTCCATTTCAGCTAATAATTCAATTAATGTAATTTGAATTTTCCTCTTCATTTCAATAAATATTCAAATATTATGGCTTTTTTATTATTGATTTTTCAACTTAATAATGAAAGGTATGTATGATCTATCCATCAAGTCAACCATGCTAAGCTCGAGTCAAACAAATTGGCTGAAGTAGGTCAATCTAACTGGTCAATCAGATCATATCAGACCAATTAATTGCTAAATTTAAGCTCATCTTATGCCTAAAAAGCTCTAATACATATCTTATCGAAGTAACGATATATATTTAGCATATATATCTCCATTTTTTGACAAAATTTTATTAAGTTATACATTATATAATTCATGTATTTATCTTTTAAGATATATTTTTTTTATATAACAATGCCACTATTATCAGCAAGCCTAAGGACAACAATTTATTTACCTGACCTCTTTATATTCGAGCAATAAAATCACATAGCTTGTCTCCTGTTATCTCTCTCTTCTATGTCTCTCTCTCTCTCTTTCTAGTTCTCTACTTTTATAGTCTCTTATAAATAAAATCCGAGTATCGCTCTTGGACTAAGGATTCATTTGAGACGAATTTCTTAATGCTTTTTAAAACAGTTTTTTAGTTAAAAAATTAAAAATTTTATACTAGAAAGTTGCTTCAAGAAGCAATAAGGAAGCTGTTCCAAACGAAGCCTAAAAAATAAATATTTACTGCACAACTCCAGTATCTGATTCTACATTTTGAAAGTTCAGCACCATCAACTTCTGCTTTAGAAAATAAAGCTCCAAAACTCATATTTGATGTGCAAATCTAACCAACACAGCTTTGTGTAATTATCAGACCTTAGACTATCCTTTATACATAGACATAAGAAATTATAATTGAGAAGTAAATGTAAGATTACAAGTAAAAGCAACAGACACCTCTGCTGTTATTGATTTGTTGGGATTAGTTCCACCAACAAATACACTTTTTTGTTTTCACTACAATGATGGGATTTGTGAACAACAACCTGATTTTGGTTTGAGGCTGTTGGAAGAATTAATGCGGACACCGGACAATTCGGAGATTAATCAGAACATGTCATGTCAAAAAATGATGTGACGCATTCTGATTAGTTTACGATCAGCATTCGGGATCCGCACCGAATAATTTTTAAGGTTGTTGAGCCATCCATACCTACATCCTATAAGCAAAAGGAATGAGGAAAGTTTTATTCTGGAAAAAGTTGGTCCACCAAAGGAAGCATAAATGTCAGTTATGGTGATCTTTTTGAGTCCTTGAAGGTCCATCTTTTATGACTTGATGGACTTTCCACCTTGGCATCATGAGGAAGGAGAGGGACCTCTTGTTCTGTACTCCTGAGCCTTGCCTACTCCATGTTGAGATGCTTAATCATTGAGGATATTTTCTTTAGGGTTATTATTATAAGTTGTGAATACATAGATTTGGTTATGGGGTGATAAATTGGAAATCCCTCATTTTGACTCTTATAGAAGGAAGTTGAACACAACTGGCAATGCATTTTGCTTACTTTAAGTAGACAATTTAGCTTATGACATCAATGAAATGCTCAAGTGTTGCTTATTTTTTATTATTTCAAGGACATCATTAAGATACTTCTCATGTCTCACATTGGGAAATATATCTTCATATTTTAATTTCAAGTGATAATTTGCGACTCAATTTGTCGGTGCTAAAAAATCATTAAAGAATTCACCCGCTCAATTTGTCGGTGAGTCACATAGAATTTTAATAGTACATTTCCTTAGTGAAATGTTAGTAGCCAAATACGTGGATTCAATAGTAGCCTAAGTTGTATTGATGTGAGGATATCGAGAATGTTTTTTTAAACATGCATTCGATCTGCAACAACTACGGATGTTGACTGAGTATAAAGTGAACATGTAACATTATCTTCTTGACCATATGATTCTAATTCCATTGGAAAATTATAGTAAAATCCCCAAGGAGAATGAAGTCGGCTATAAAATTATTGAGACAAGTAACTCAAGAAGTACTCACATCATTGGTGATAGCATCACCAAAAACAAAGAACTCAAAATTGCAACTTCCACCATGAGGAGCACTTTTGAAATCAAAAAAAATATGACATCGAAAAAATGTGAGAGGTTGCCCGAACCTAAAACCATTCATTCAATATCCTACTATTTTCACTACGAAAATCTTGGATATGATTCACAATGAAGATAATCTTTGCTAACCAATACCATTCTAAACAAAGAAATTACTATTTACTTCATAAAGACCACCAATATAATACAGAGAAATTCCAACATCTTTGTAACTTGGTTAAAGAGTTTATTTGTATGGGAAAATTAAGAAAAAATTCACCTTCATAGATATAGGATGTCATGCTGAGAAGGAACTTATGGAAGAAAGATAAATGAACATGACTAAGCACAAGAAATTTACAAAATAGATAATACATGGTAATTTTATCAACTTGAACTAAACTTGCCTCAAAGACAATTATCTTTTATCACAAATAGACACACTAGTTGAATCGTCAGTCAGCTATCCTGTAATTAATTTTATTGATAACATTTTAGTAATCATCAATTTAAAAATGCATCCCATTGAATTAAATTGTAGGTTTCTTATAACCTACTAGTATTAGCTCTTGCACAACTACATGCATCTAATGGTTAAGAATTAATTTGATTTGAGAATTCTCCTTTCAATGTCACGATCTAGTTTGATGTGATTTGCGTAAAGTCAAGTCGTTATACAACCGATAAGTTTGATATGCGCCATTTAAGGCTAGAGCCGATCTGACTACTATGGAGCTCCATAGAAAAATTTGATCTTTTGTGTAAATAATTTTAAAGAGCTAGTGAAGCAGCCTAGTTATATTATGTGATAATAGAGGTGCACAAAATGCTTGCCATACAAAGTCCATTTAGAAAGTAGAAATGGTGGGATTTACAAACTCGCCTTACATATAAGAATGCACAAATGCATATAAAGAATCAATAATGTAATGCAAACATGTTGCATTTCCCTATGTTGCAACCCAAATATATGAAGAGTATTTTAAAATAGAAAATATAAAAAATTGAAATTTCTGTATGAAGTGGAGAGCAACGGCGTTGTGCTAGGTAGCGCTACGCATGAGAGCACAACGATGCTAGAAAGTGCCTCTATGATGCTGGTGTCTTTGTTCTATAGTAACTCTTAAATCGAAATGCAGCGCTACGACGCTAGACCACTAATAGTATTTTTAATATATTTTATTATAACTATCCAAGCACCGTCCCCTCACTCCCTCACTCTCGTGTAGTTTGGCTAGGAAGGAAGGAGGATAGAAGGGAGTAGAGAAAGAGGGAAAGATGAGATAGAAAGGCCTTCGGGTCATTTTTGTTTGTCATTCCTATTACGAATATTGTTCTATTCGGTATAAGTAATTATTCTCTTACTTCTATTTTTGATGAATTTGATTTCTATGTATTTATCATCTATGTTAACTTTTTGAACATAATGCTGCATTAATATGCATCAATTAGGCTCTGTCAACAAGAGTTGAATTTTACGATTTAGAGAAAGATGACAAACACAATTTATAATGTGCATTTGATATAAGTAAATTCTTAACAAACTACTTGTTCATATAATGCTACATGCTAGTCTAACACATGTTGCCTTCCGATAGGCTTGATGAGGGTGAAATCAACGGTCGAGTTGCTCGATGTCGGCGAATAGGATATGGGTGAGTTTATGATTGAGCCTTATAGAATGGTCAAGCATGGCTAATGACTTGTGTAATATATCTCATGTTGTCTTAAGGAAGAAGACAAGTGAGATGTTGCGGGAATAAAAGAGCTTCATGCCGGAAGGTCATAGTCAAATAATGAGATTTTTTAGTAGGCGCTTCCTAGAGTTGAGTTGGGCTAGTTTGGATATTTAAGTAGAGACCCAGTGAAAGAGGTAGCGACAAGTGGTGGCTCTAGGGGCCTCAATTTGCCTTGTGCTATGTGAGCCTCACAGTAGGCTCAGTCGAATTGAGCCATCAGCTCCTTTGAGTGGGTTCCCATGCAGAGGTCCTAGACAAGTTCTCTAAAAAATCCCTTCTTGAGTGCAAGGATCCTCGTCAAGACCTGCTAGCTACCTGTGAGACACCTATGAAGACTTTCATGAGTAAATATTTAAACTTATTCCATTAGTTAATTATATAATTGTAAATAAGCTCAAATGAGGCTAAATCTTTAAAACTTTTTTGAACATAAGTATTGGTTGATTGCCGCCTTAATTATCCTAATGATTAATATTAATAATATAAGTACTAAATGATAACGGTAGAATCCACGGCGCGGGGCGCAGGAAATTTAAATGGGCCCACAGTATCATGGACCCCAACATCGCCCCACTACTCTCACCGCAGGTGATTGTAGCGAATCTTTATTCTCCCTGTCCGATTTATGCTCTTTCTCTCCAGTTTCTATTTTGCTTCCTTCAATCATAAAACTCTCTTCCCCTACTAAGCCTCCCCGTTCTCGCTGTGTCTCTCTCTCTCTATCGTCTAGAACGGAACTTTCTCTCTCCTCACCATTATCTTTCCGAGAACTTTTTGAAGAAGAAGAAGAAGAGGAAAAGTAGAATCCGAATAAGTACTTACGGAGAGTGAAACGATGCCGGAACCGATCCCATCGTGTTTCCGGGGAAGTGTCGCCGGTGGTCCGCCAGCTTCGACGGCGGTCGGTCCTAGTCTAACTACCTCCATCTACGACACGCATCTTGGGCTAGCGTCTTTCAGCTGGTCCCGGACAGTCCTCGGTCTCTCTCTTCGCGCAGACCTCCGCCTTTCCCCGTCCTCTTCCGGCGACGATGATGACGATAATGACGATGAGCACTTCTTCTTCCGGATCCGCCCTTGGTTTTTTTGGAAGCGGAAGGGCACTCGCCGCTTTCACATCCAGGACGGCCTCGGCCACCGTGCCATCGACGTCGCCTGGGACCTCACCCGCGCCAGATTCCAATCTACCGGCGGCCCCGAACCCTCCTCCAATTTCTACGTCGCAGTTGCTGTCGATGGGGAGATGCTCCTCGTCGCCGGCGACATGGACGAGGAGGCTCACCGGAAGATGAAGGCCAGGAGGCGAAAGCCGGCGATGCCAATCTCGAGGAGGGAGCACGTGTTGCTGAAGCTGGATGCAGGTGCCAGCGGTCGGAGATCGTACCGCACGGCAGCTAGGGTTTCGGGAAGGGAACGCGAAATAGCAATTGAGATCGGCGGGAAGGAGAAGGAGTCGTCGGGGATGTGCGTCACTGTTGACGGGACGAAGGTTCTCCATGTGAGGCGACTCCGATGGAAGTTCCGGGGAAGGGAGCGAGTCGAGGTCGACGGTTATGGTGGCGGAAGAATCCAGATCTCATGGGATCTGCATAGCTGGCTATTCCCGTCGAAGGAGGACACTACCCCCACCTCATTCGCTGGCTCCGCCGCTGGCGAGATCGGCCAGGCCGTATTGGTCTTCAGATTCGAGACCGACCAGGCGGATAAAAGAGAAGATGCAATTTCTCTCCAGAAGGAAAAGGTATTCGCCGGCGGCGGAAGCGGAGGGCTGTACAGAGGCTTGATCTCAGGCTACTTGGGGAAGAATCAAGACTGGAGCGAAAGCAGCAGCGGCATGGGCCAGAGACCAAAGGCCAAGAAGAAGAGCCTGTTGAAGACGAGCTCGTCGTCCTCTTCCTCCTCTGCCTCCTCGGCCGGCAGCTCATCGGTAATGGATTGGGCCAGCCCGGAAGAGGCTGAGCTACGCGGCGTTGACGGTTTTACCCTCGTCCTTTACGCGTGGAAGAGTTAGCTCATCGGCTCCGCTGATGGCAATTGCGGAATTACACTTTTTTCTCATTTCCTATTTTCTATTTTTATTTTTTCCCTCGCATATTTTGTATCAATTTTTTATTTTAATATTATAGGATTTTGGATTTGTTTGCGTGTAATAGCCGAATAAATTAAATAATTATCGCATCAAATAATTGATTAATATAATAATGATACAGAGAAAACTGTAGATCTGTACAGAGAATGGCTGAAAAAACTAAAAAGGCTGTCTATTTTTATTTTTTATTTAGTAAAAATAAAATAAAATATTCAGAAAACTGTGGCTGCCCGTGACCGACTTGGTCGTCGTTATCAGATTTCTGCTGTCTGCTTGTTAGGTTTTTTTAAAGAAAGTCTTGGTCTAAGCTGAGTGGTTGGATTGGATTAAAGATCTGTAGCGAGAGGCTTAGTTGGCTGAGACTGATGTGAGTTATTTCTTTAAGGGAAAAATTTGGTGACTATGCCAAGTTTTATATTAAGTATATCTAAGTATGTACATTTGATGACTTTTTTTAAGCTGATTGGTTAGGGTTTTGGTGGGTTTGGATTTCATTCAAAATTTTTTGAATTTCAGGATAAGTATATGTCTATTTGTGAATTGTATTATATATATAGATGATAATGGTCACTTATAGTTGTAGTAGAGATTATAAGAGAAATAATGCTGGGATGATGATGGTAGTCAGACAATATTGATAGTTTGACGATGATGATCGGGTGATAGTGGTTGAGCGAGAATAATCTTGTTTTGAAATTGTTTCATGCTCCTCCTGTGACTCAATGCCTTATTTGGCTGGAATGGTAGGGGAGCCGCATAGGGGGATGTAAGTTTGATCATTGGCTTTCAACATAAGAGATTATTTTTCTGGCTAAGGCAGACAAACGGGCTATACATAATTCACTTCTACGATGACCTGTCATTTATCGGAAGCATAAGTCTATCTTATTCGACAAAAAGAAGTCATTCTCATTTCTCAGATGACAACAATTGGATGATGATAAATGAACTATGATAGCTATATGGTGGTGGTTAGATAACGACTTTCGGGCGATGCTAATCGGAGGAAAGTGGGTTGGTGAAGACAATTGGAGGACAAATGCTAGATATAGCTTAGAGTTCTCCAGATCTCTAACCTCTCTCCAACTTATCAAGTCTTATGCCACTTTTAATGTAGAGAATGAGGTTTCATTTACCATATATGATTTTCTTGTCTTTTCTATCATTTTGTGTAGATTTGAAATTGTTGAATGATTTTGACAATTTTAATTTCGACAGGCAACAATTTCAAAATGCTCCAATTAAAAGTTGATGTAAAGTCTTTACGATAAAGCTTATTTGAAAAGTAATAAATATCATTAATTTTGAATGATTGGTATCCATCTCAAGAATCCAAGGCTAAACTAAGAATTAATAGTCCTATAAGTTGTTCTTTAAACATGTTCAATTTTTTGCAATTGTGTATCTAAAATGTTTTGAAATTATCAACTTCATAATGTCTCTCCTCTATAATATTATTATTTCTATAACAAGGGCTTCTTTAACTTCGTTTGTAACAACTTTCTTACTGTTTTTTAAAGCAGCTTTTTTGAGAAATTTTTGTACTAAAAACTGCCTTAGAAAGCAATAAGAAAGCTGTCCCAAATGAAACCTTAGAAATCAATATCACTAATAAAATTATCATTAAAAGCAAAGAATCTTATATCCTCTCTCTTTTATTTTTTTTATAAAAAAGTTATTTGTCTCTTGATACCAAATGTATTATATTCAAGATAATTTGTAACTTTCTTTGTACTACTTGAAAAAAGATCATATGTAATTTTAAAATCACTATCTTATGATGCAAAAAAAGTCAAATGAGGTCCTTACATTATAAGCTCATCACCATTTTTACTTGGTGATTTTCCTTCCTTATTAATTTCTTTAACATAAGATACTTGATTTCATCCCTCACCCATCTCTAATTCATCAATTGGGATCATTTTTTATAATCTACTTACTTGAGAGCAACTTTTAATTGATTTTGTCTTTTATGAGAAGAACAAATTAAATTGATTTTAAGAGTCAAATATGAGAAGGATTGAAGAATAAAAATAATATCTTTTGATGGTATTACGCGTATCAACTAAAGTTTATGTGATAATAATGTTGTGAAAATCAGATCAGACAACGAATCGAAAGAAGGGAAGGCTCACGGTTCAACCGATCGAATCAAAGTCGAACCGGATGATGTAATAAATAATAATATTATTAAAAATATTAAAAATTAATAAAATTATCATAATAATTATGATAGTTTAATCTTAAACCTTATAATTCTAAGAATTTAAACTCCCTATTTTTAGTAGATTATGACATATTATCTCTCAATATAATTAAATTATTAAATAGTTTAATAAAATTAAAATAAAGAATATAATTATAAATTATAATTAAATTATTAGACATATTATTTAATTATATCATATTATGAATATATAATAATTTAATTTATAATGTGAAATACACTCTTTTTATAACAAAACATATTTTGTGAATGACATGAATATATTATATTATAATTAATATTAATATTTAATAGAAATGTTTAAAAATTTTATAAGATTTAATTAATTAAAATATATTGTTTATAATTTAATTAAAATAAAAAAATTATAGAACCGGCCCATTCTTCCCAACCTAAACTGGTTCAACGATTTATCGGTTGAATTGTTGGTTCAGCCTAGTTCAACCCGGTTTGATGCGAAGCCAGTTTTTAAGTTGGATCATACCAGACAACTGAGTTGTTCATGGTTGAACCGGCCGATCTGATTTGATTTTTAAAACCTTGGTGATAAGCATTTAATATGATGTGTGAATGTCTGATCATTACTTGAACTTAGTAACTTCAATATCTTCAACTTGTACAAGTCAGCTTTCGCATGATGCATGAATATATAAAATTTATCACTTGGACTTGCAATATTAATATTTTTATAAAATCTTGTTTATATTGACCCAAATAAAATATAACCTCAAAAATATCCACACGTATCAAAATGAAATTTAAAGTAGGGCATTAATAACCAATCTCATGATAAAAATTTTTCTCAGCTAGCTTCTCTTCTTTTATCCCTTCTCCTGGCTTCTCTCTTAACTTAGGATTTTTTTTAATGCTTTGATAAATTTATATAAAACTTTGAAATTGAACTAACATCATAATGCTACCATTCACAATGTCGCAAAGCTCCCAAAAGAAAATTTGATTATGAAAGTTTCTATTGAATAGAAGTCTCAATCTTGCATAACTTTCCTGCAACACTGAGGTGTACACTTTACTGCACCAATGCTCTGAATTGATTCTGAGTTTGTTCTAGTAGATAGAGAGCTCAGCGTCGCGACTCTCTAAAGTAGGAATTTCTATTATTAAATATAGAGAGCTTAGTGCCACAACGCAAAAAAAAAAAAAATTTCTAGACTTAGTTCTTAAACTTGTAAAGTAAATTTGTAACATTCTATGACTAAGTTTTAAACCTGAAATAAATTAAGATGATTCATAATGACTTAATAAAATATAATAATCTTTTAAATCTTAGCAAATTTTATTCAAATTATCATAGGTGAACTCATTACTGTAGTTAAGGGTTGTTACATTTTCCCCTATTTAGAAAAATATCATAGCATTTAGAATAGGTCAGGATAGAGTTGTCTCATTTCTCATTTCAACTTCTTTCTCATAAGTAGCTTTTCTTTCAAGTCTGTGCTTTTACTAATTTTTATCATAGGGATGTGTTGTTTCTTAGCAGGTTTACATCATAAGCTAGAATACATTCTAGTTCTTCTTTGCATGTCAAACTAGGTCTCTCACTTCTACTTCATCTTCAGACACTCTCTGCTCTAAATTAAATCCCATTTCTTAACATAGATGTATGAAATACATTATGAATATCAAATATATGATCTAGCAACAATAATCTATAACTATACTTTCCAACTCTAACAATTACTTCAAAAGGTTCAATATACCTTTGATTAACTTTCCTTCCTTATCAAACCTACTTATACCTTTCAAAGGGCTAACTTTAAAAAATATAAAATATCATACTTAAAATTCAATAACCTAGTGATTCATATCATAATACATCATCTGCCTATTGTGAGATGCTTCCAATCTTTTTCTGATCAATTTAATCTTCGCAATAGCATTGTCTACTAGGTCAAGACCTATTAACTTATGTTCACTTATTTCTATATAAGATAGTGGTGTTCTACACTTCCTATCATACATAGCTTCATAAGGAGACATATTAATACTAGACTGAAAATTATACTTTCATATTAAGTGTAGGAAGATAGCATTTAAGGGCTCCTAAACATCCATCAAAACAAGTTGTTGTGGATGTATGTTTGACTTAGACTTTTGGTTTGTTTGATGCGAACAAGAAGGAACCGAAGATGACATTAATGAAGCTCTTTGTCAAGTAGATCCTAATATGTTGTGAACCTTATTTTCTTAGCAGGTATGATCGAGAGACCCATGTTCGTGCTTTATGGTTGTTTTGTTAGCCACTCATTCCGCAGTACATTATAATAAGTTTGTTATGTCCTAAGGGTCTACTCAGGATGAGGGTGTGATTGGCCAGTTGAAACCATGAAGAATACAACTTGACCTTGTTGATTCTTTTGATCAATGAGGTAAACTCTCTTAAAGTGACATAAATCTCAAAAAACTATTCAAAATATATTCTCCCTATTGAATTTAGGTACTCACCTTGAATTATAAAATAGGTAAGCCTTGGGAATCCACTCAGTTATGACATAGTTCTTCTTTGGTACCACGGTTCATTGAACACATAAAAGATAAAGAATTTGAAATGATAAACAAGTCTTATAAATGAGAAAGTTGATCAAGAAATCAACAAGTAACTATTCATAAGATAAATATTCTTAATAAAAAGAGTAACAAAATACAATATTACATTTTTGGTTCAAATAAAAGTATTGGTCTCGTGACATATGAAAGTAACATAACATTAAGCTAGCTAAAAAATAATTAAGCAAGCATTGGTCTTGTGACATATGACATGTGAAACTATTTTTTTTATTGATCACTTAAAGATATAAATAATGTAGGCGAGCAAA